ACTGCGGCCGTACGGGGCACTACTGCGGCCGTACGGGGCACTACTGCAGCCATATGGGGCCCTACTGCGGCCGTACGGGGTCCAAATCTTGTTTGCTCTAAGAAAAGAATGCATTCTTTAATTTAGCAGAGTGTGAACTTGTCTTACCGGAGTGTGTGTTTAATTGTCATACAAACAGCCGTATATCTGTGTTGGAGCTGCAGCAGCAGCAGTGGATCTGTTTGGTCAAGATAAGGAAAGGCTAGCTCCATGCCAGGACCTTCATACTGCACAGCTTCATCTGGGATTTAAAAGCAGAAATCATGACAACAAACTGCCACATAGGATTGTAAATAATGAACTGCAAACATTACTATTACAACTTTTGACAGCTTTGCATATAATTTGCTTTATAATTTACATTTCAACTCCTGAAGATTGCTGCTGTATGTTGTCTTGTTTTTCAGCTAACCTATTTCCAGAGCAAGGTTCACCTCACTCAGACCAATAAACAGCTGAGGAAAAAACAAACCACAAGGACCTCTGCTGCTGTTCTACTGTGGCCATTCATCTTACTGCTGTTCTTAATCATTTATTATTGGATGTTGATTTTGCATGTACTTTATTGCAGCTGTGGTTGTTTGCAAGAGCTTTATAAATGAAGTAGTAGTGGTAGTAGGGCTGGGCAATAGCTCAATATTTTAAAAATATCAAGATAATTTCATACGCGATATAAGATGGGACTATATCGTCTATATCAATATTTCTACGTTGCGTAACTAGACTTGAAAATCCATTTAGTTCTTTTTATCCAGTCTGTGCTCATCTACACGTGCCCCCTCCTTCTCCCTCATTGAATACAAAAAACACACAGCCCCTCAGCCGTGTGCGCTCCCCCTTCTTCCTGCTTCTCTGGGTGGGTGGGAGACGTTTAGCACAAGTAAACACGGGAGATATGAAGAGCAGCTTAGCTGCTGAGCAAAAAGAAAAACAATGGCTGTTATTTGGAGATGGTTTGGATTTAAACTGTCAGATGAGCAGCAGAAAAATGTTTTCTGTAGACAATGCTGAAAACAAGTCCTGACAAAAGGTCAGAACTACAAATCTTTTTCACCATCTAAAACAGCGCTATAAGTTAAAAGCTGCAGCTCCGACTGTGTTTTCAGCCTCCTTCCCTGAAACAAACCACTGTATAAAACTCATTTAGTCGAGCTGTGCCTTCCTTATGAGAGGAATAGAGAGCGCGCAGCATTAATAAATCAGCAGCTTATCATATCGCTAAAGACACGGTCCGTAGCAGCTAAAAAGACGGCTCTGTCTTTACAGAAAAATGCAATCAAAATGTACCTGTTTCTGAACCTTGGTAGATCTGAGCCAGAAGGCTATTGCCAGAGGCCAGGAGACAGTGAATCTTACTGGTCCAGCCCTCAGCTCTACCAGCACCCATTGCTTTGTCCAACAGACCCCCCAGACAGGGCAGATGACTATAACCCTGGCAGGCCATCTGACAGAAAAACAATAGGGAGATTTTTAAAAATGAGAGGGTGGTACAGGAGATCACTAAAGATTAAAACTAAAGTTTTGTGAGAGACACACCTCTAGTGTTTGTCTGTTTGTGCTGTCCATTTTGGAGAGAAAATAAACTCCAAGTTTGTCCTTAAACAGAGAAAAACAAGCATTGTTAAAGGGACCACAACAAAAACCTACTGAAATTAAAAAGTTAGTGGATACATGTAACTTGATGAATATGTTACTCGTAGAAAGTGATGGTTTCACCTTTAGGGATCCACAGGCTCTGGGATAATAAATCATACATGCCTTCATCCCCTCCATGGCTGCAAGCTCACACTTTAATCACACAAAGAACAAAAATAACAGAGCTGATGTTAAATTTGACCAGAAGGTTAGAATACGAGCGGAATTTAAAAATACCTTTCACAGTCAAACTCAAGTTTCCTATAATATAATGTGCTATAAAAATCAGATGATCTAGAAATAACTCGTTTCATTACTGGGGGAGAAGCACCCCAAAATCCTGAATTTAACGTGTAATAAATAAATTAACATGTGGCCATAAAAAACTTAAAAGTTTCACCAACCTCGGTTTTGAGGCCTAGAAGAGATGTCAAAATGCCGAGAATGAAGTTCAGGCTGACCTCCCTGGCAAGTTCTGCGAGCTGACAAGAGTACTGCAGCAGATCTTTCAGAATGGTCACAGCAAGTTGGATAGTCTGGACTGGAGCCTGAGACTGGAACAGATCAGATGGGGAGGGGGACACAGAGGTGTTATACAGTTCAAGGTTTCTTCAGGGTTTCATTGTGTCATGCACTCAGTATAAATAAGACTAAAATGTAATGTGAATAGCGCCACTATAACTTTTCATTCATTCAACCTTTATTTAAACAGATATATCACATTGAGCCTCAAACTCTTTACAAGTGAGACCTGTTTGGACAGACAAAAACAGCGGTTAACTGGACACATGTAGGAGGGAGGCGAAAAAAATTCCTATCAGACTTTATTTTTACTGCCTGATGAAAAAAAAAAACTACAATATTAAAAAACACCTCGCACAAACAGCACATAGCCATTCTGCAGACGGAGGAGACGAGAGCAGTGAGCATGTTCATAGATGCTCTCAAGGTCACTGTAAGAGTTCTGATAAGGATGTAATAATCAGTCAATGTCCACCGGTGAGATCCATAAACATTCTCGAGGTATGTCGAGGAATGGCCAAGAATAACGACTGAGAATCCAAAAGTCCTGAAATGATGACACAAAGTTTATTCAGCTGGCTCATCTGGTTATCAGTTGGAAATTCCTCAGGGAGGGGGTGGTGAGAATCAGATCACGTTCTCCAGGCGAATTCAGATAAGATGGCCTTCAAAACCAGCCAAGGGAGCCAAATACAGATAAACATACAGTTGTTTTGGGGACAGGCAGAACTTAATGACATCTACCTTGAGTCTGTGTTGGTCGACTCAGTTCTGAAATGTCCAAATTACATGGCCACACCGAAGGAACGTGACTGAGTAAAATCCCCAAGATCTGATCCATTCAACCCAAAGCATTTGAGTCCGGGTACTCAAGACACGAACCAAGCCATCATAAAGGCAAGCAACGTGATCGGGTCCAAATTTGCTGCAGACGACTTCCTTGATTGTAGATAAAACCTACCAGCCGAATCCAAAAAGCAGGAAACAGGTATCGTAAATCCAATTAAATATGCGTCCTTAAAATCCACAGATGGCAGCAATGATAGACACATCATCAAGTCTTCCAGTCGATGAGATATCCAGCTGCATGCGTGCCAACAGGGCAAATCGGCTCACCTGAAGCCTGCCTTTTCTTCGAAGAAATGTTGTAAATTGAGTTGAGAGACCAACTGATCAAAACAAGTCCATAATTATGGTTCAGAAGAAATGCAAGAGAGGCTCAGAAGCAGTTTCACAGACAGACAGAGCAGCAAAACAAAGCGGAGTGGGAGGGAGGGAAGCATCCGATCTCGGCGAGAGCAAGTGGTGAATAACAAACCAGTGTTTCCTTTACCATTATCCAAAGAGGGTGCCCCGCAAGAACTGAGCACCCAGCCAACCAAATTTCCCACACCCCATTCATCTTCTGTGATTTTTGTTGAGCGGGGGTTGGGGGGACAAGGTTGTTTTCACACCTGATAGTCCAATAGATTTGGTTCGATTGGGGCCAAAATTCTGAACATTTGTTACATGTTCAGTGCCCTGAGACGACTTCTGTTGTGACTTGGCACTATATAAATAAATTGAATTGAAATTAATTTTCAGCTGGTGCGGTTCACATTCCACTGTAATGAGTCAGTCGAGCCAACCTGTACCCCCCCCCCCCCGTGGTGGCGTTGCACCAAGAACTACTGAAGGAAACAACAAAATAATAATAATGTTATATATTGTCATCATTGTATGTTTCCATACAATGGTGAAATTAGTCTCTGAATTTAACCCATCCACCACAAGGTGGTGCAGTGGGCAGCTATTGAGGGCGCCCAGGGAACATTTGGGGATAAGGTGTGCTGCCCCAAGACACCACGAGAAATGCAATGACCGAGGATCGAACCTGGGACTTTTGGGTCCTGAGCTGGCTGCCCTGCCTCTACACCATATTGGCCCCATCAAATCTCTGAAGAAGACACTACTTCTTCTGGAAATAAAAATAAAAATGGAGTGGCATCAAATTTTAGCGGTTTTAGGATTTCTGTTTTGTCATTTTTCAACAATGGACTCAGCATGAGAGGAAGATGAGGCAGAAGACCATGGAGAATGTTGTTTTTCACACAAGGCGGCTGACGGCTCCATATGAGGCATGAGAAAGTCGCATTTGTTTTGGTTGTATTTACCCAGAATGCCCTGCACTGTAATCCACTTTCTTGTTTTTGGAGCAGTCTCTGGTCAGCTTGCATTCACACTGCAATCGAACCGAGACAGAGTTCACTTCAACCAAAAAGAGACCTAGGTATTCGGTTCGGGACCAATATTCATGACTTTTTGTTTACATTTGAGCTGGTGCGTTTGCATTCACACTGCACTGTGCAGTCGAGTCAACCTGTTGAACCAACCTGTTCCCCCGCTCGCCTGTGGGGGCGCTGCACCAAGAACTACTGAAAGAAACAACACAAAAACCTCTGAATACACGTCTTCTTCTTCTGTATAAAAATTAAAAACGAAGTGGCATCAAGTTTTAACAGTTTTAGGAGTTAAATTTTTTAATTTTTCAAAAATGGACTTGGCATGAGCAGAAGATGAGACAGAAGACCCTGGAGAATATTGTTTTTCCACACAAGTCAGCTGACGGCTCCATATAAGGTCAGAGAAATGCGTGTTTGTTTACCCTGCGGAGCGGGGTTCGGTCTGTTTACATTCACACTGTACTCGAACCGCGCTGGACTTCTTTTCTACCGGACCGAGACCTAGGTTTTAGCCCGGGCCAGAGTTCGCCTTTTTGTTCCGTGACAGAGTTCGATGGCGCGTTCACACCTCCCTAAACGAACCGGACTTTCTAGGAAAACGAGCTAGAGTTCGATTAAAGCGGACTAAACAGGGCTGGTGTGAATGCACCCTAAATCCAAGGTCACTGCAACAGTCTTCCAGAATGTTTTAGAGGACTTCATGATTCCTTCTGCTGAGGATCTGTATGGAGATGCAGATTTCATCTTCCAGCAGGACCTGGTCCTTGCCCATGCTGCCAGAAGCACCAAAACCTGGTTTGATGCCCATGCCACAGTACTTGACTGGCCAGACAACTCGACGGACCTAAACCCCATTGAGAATCTATGAGGTATTGTCAAGAGGAAAATGAGGAGCACCAGACCCAACAACAAAGAAGATCTGACAGCATCAAGGAAATCTGGGCTTCCATAACTCCCAGTCAATGCCACAGGCTGATTGTCTCAATGCCACGTCACATCGAAGCAGTGATTAAGACAAAGAGATTCACAACCAAGTATTGAAGATTTACATATCGTTTCGAAAGCAACATATTTTGATTGATTTGTTGTGAACCTAATTTCTTTCTTTTTTTCTGCAAAAACTGAGACGTATTGTGGACTGATGTCTCCACAGTATTCTAATTTTTTTTAATCATGTTTTTGTGGGTTTCATGAGCTGGAAGCCCAAATTATGTAAAAATAAACAATAAATACTTGAAATTGTTTAAATTGTGGGCCCTGAATCTATCATCTATTAAAGATTAACTTTTTGAATGGAATTATGGAAGTTAAACAACTTTTCCATGATATTCTAATTTTTTGGAAAGTGTCTGTATATAAACGCACGCACATGCAGTTGAGAAGGTTTAAATGTGTAAAAACACACAGGGGAGTCATTTTTCTAACAACAAGTTCATTTTGTCCTAGTTTAGAGCAGACATTGTTATGACTATTGGTGAAAATCTGGAACTTTCAGAAGCAGTTGTCAAAAAGCACCACTGACATGAGAAAAGCCTTTGAAAGAGATTCAATAGATAAGTGATAGTGATTAAGATAAGTGATAAAGATAGTGATTTACACAGAGCCACAGAAGTAGCTAAGGCTAAAAATCCGCACAATATTGGAGAACGACTTCTGAAACCCACCTGCCTGAAAATTGCAAAAAATCAGCTGCATGATAGAATCAGGAAGATATCTTGACAAAACTACAATTTAAATTTTTTAACACCGTTTTTAAGATTATACTCTGTAGTTTTTAAAAATTACTTTATCACTTTGATAAAGAGCTGAATCTGAATGAGTCTTTTGGGAGAGGGGAGTAGCGAGGGGTTGTGGAGGCTCAGATTGTTAGAAAATAAGAAGGGGGGGTCTTTGAGGAAAACAGGTTGGGAACCGCTGCTCTAAAAGATGCAGAGTTGTAGCTACAGGTGCATCTCAAAATGTGACTATCATGAAAAAGTTCACCTTTTTTGTCCGTCACTTCAGGAAGTGCAACTCATACATTACATAGATTCATTACAGAGTGAAACATTTCAAGACTTTATTTCATGTCATTTTGATGATTTTGACACAAATAATGAAAAAACAAAACCCTTTCTTGGAAAATTAGAATATTGTGAATATTGTAAACTCCTGGTGTCTCACTCTAATCAGCTGATTAATTCCTGGACATGAGCTACAAATGTCTCATTCCTCAAGTCCAGCCACTCCTGAACCAGAGACATCAGAAGAGTCTTACCTGCTGAGGAGACAAAGAACTGGACTGCTGCTCAGTGGTCCAATATCCTCTTTTCAGATTAAAGTAAATTCTGCACATCATTTATAAATCAAGGTCTCAGAGTCTGGAAGTTTCCAGTCAATGATGGTTTGGGTCCATGTCCTCTGCTGGTTCTGGTCCAGTGGGTTTTCTGAAGTCCACAGTTCACGCAGCATCTAGCAGAACATTTTAAAGCTCTTCATGCTTCCTTCTGCTGACGAGCTTTATGGAGATGCTGGTTTCATTTTCCAGCAGGACTCAGTCTGACCCACACTGACAAAAGTACCAGAAGCTGGATGTGGATTATTCTCATTTTCTGAGACACTGAATTTTGTTTTTTCAATATCTCTGAGCCATAATCATCAAAATGACAAGAAACAGGTTTGAAATATTTCACTCTGTGTCATGATGAGTTTCACTTTCTGAAAGAGACAAAAAACATTTGAACATTTTTACAATATTCTAATGCACCATATACATCAAATGAGTTCTTTGGGAGCTTCAGTGAAATCTGTCCAAAGGTTCAAGAGATCTTTTTAAACAGAAAGGTTGATGCCAAGTTATTTAGTTGTAAATGCACATACAAGGAACTTTTCACTGAAAGGTTCGTTATAATCGTTATAATCTGTTCAATGTTTGGAGAGATATTTTGCCAACAATGCAGAAGAATGAACACACGTGCCCACACATGTGGTGCGAACAATAAAGAATATCTGAATCTGAAACAAGAAAAAACATGATCTTAAATACTGTAATTTCCAGACTATAAGCCGCTACTTTTTTCCCCACACGCTTTGAACCCCGCGGCTTATACAAAGCTGCAGATATTTTATGAAATTTATTTTGTTTTTGACAGACTTACAAGCTTCGTGCTGCCAAAACATTTAGCCTCATCACATCTGGGCGCTCACATTAGGGGTCCACCAATAAATCGGCCCCGATTTTCTTAATTTTGGGAAATCGTCTGATACTTTCATGAGAAACCTATTTTACCAATTTTTTTGTTTGTTTTAACAACAATTGTCTAAAATTAATTTATATTTCAGAGCACTACCTCCTGGCCAGTTAAAACAAGTTTGTATTGTTTTTAGGATATTGTTCAAGGGTATGTTTTCAATAAAATAAGATTGGACAATTTAAGGTGCATTGTGACCTTATAACACCTGACAGTGTCGATTATAAAACAAAAGTGGTATCGGCAGGTCAGGCTTTTTAGAAATCATTGATCGGCAAGAAAACTACAATCGGTGCACCCCTAACTCACAGAGCTGCCCAAAACACATCTCTCTTGGGGGGTGGGTCCTCGTGACTCAATGAGACTACCTGTATAAATAAGTTGAAAAAAATTTGACCAGTGAAATTACCAAACAAGTCACAGTGGATCAATGAAATGGGGAAGAGAGGAGAGAACAGAGGGGGGAACCCCCTCTCCCCATGTGTGGGGATTTCCCTGCATGCGCAGAGCAACTTTTGCTCAAGTCTGGGCTTCATCTTCTGGCTGCGCAGCTGTGCAGGAGGAAGATGAAGATAGCAATCATTGACTTCCTGGTAGGCTACTGTATTTTTATTTATTTTTTATTTTTACCAGCCGTGTTACCAGCACTCTTCAGAATAAAAACATTTACTGTAGGTATTTGTGCATGTTACTGGTACGTACTTAATTAAAAGTTTTTTTTTTAAATGTATGTGTAAATATCTCACGTTACAACTAGGGATGCACAATATTATCGGCATGGTATCGGCCGATATTGGCGTTAAAGTTCAATATCGGACATCGGCCATTCCATTAAAATAACTCACCGATATAAAAGGCGCTGTTTTTGCCTGCAGCAGCAGCACAACGTGATGACGTCACGTGCACGTACCTGATCTCACAGCAAAGAGGAAAATTCAAAATGTCAGCGGTGTGGAAGTTTTATTTTTCGTTGGTGAGGATGTTGGATTCTGAAGATTTATGGACTACATTGAGCCTCGCTACATCGTCCCCAGTCGGAGATATTTTTTTCGACGTAACGTTACCAGAGTGTCATTTCTGACGTCATTGAGAAGCCAACAGCTGATAGCACGACTTGTTGGGTGAGTTTTACCACAGACATTTGGACGTCGTATTAGCCCCGTTAGCATGATTAGTTTTACAGCACAATGGATAGACAAAAACTTTGAACTTAAAAAGTCTGTCCTTCATGCACAGGAGTGCAGAGGATCCCACACTGCAGCTAGGAACCTGGAACAAGCCTCCATAAGTGAGACAGCATCACAGGTGACTAATGCTAATAAATAACATTTAACACTTTTCATTAATAAAAGTTAAAGTGCTATGCATATCATATGGTTGTTACTGAATATGTCACCAGCTCTTATAGTTGATACATATTTTCATAGAAAATAAGCCTAAATAAGAGGGATATGTTCTGACAAAGGAAAGTATATAAAATATCGGTTATCGGTCGAATAAGTTTTAACATATCGGCATATCGGACAAAAGTACAATATCGTGCATCCCTAGTTACAACGCGAGCACCTGCGGCTTATATATGTACAAAATTATTTTGTGTGCGTGTGTGTGCACGGCTTAAATTCGGGTGCTCTCAATAGTATGGAAATCATGGTAGTCAAAGGTAAAGATGAGAATTTCAAAGACAGATATCAATTCATATAAAAATGTGAGTTTAGAGCAAAATCCTCACAAAACCTCTGGAGTTTATCCAGAAGATAAATGTTGGTCCCTCTCAGTGAAGACGTTGATATAGCAGCAAAGTATGAAAGTGGATTATACAGGACATCATGATGAGAGCTGTGGTCTTACAGATCCAAACCACAGCTGGGGTTTACATGTTCTCCCCAAGCTCCCATGGGTTCAGGCTCCTAGGTGTTACTGGTGGTTTTGTTTGTCTCTCTGTGTCTCTCTGATGGACTGGTGACCTGTGCTCCCTCCGCCCTCACCCAAAGACCACTGGAGATGGGTACCAGCTCCACATGACCCTGAACTGGAAGCAGCAAACAGATGGACCAGTGGTCTGTATATTCATCATACCTGTATGACCTGCTGCAGGAAGCGCAGCCAGGAAAGACAGTGTTGCTGGAACAGATCACTGGAGCTGTCTTTAACCAGCATGGAGAGCAGGCAAAGTCCCTCAAACCTGCACAGACAAAGATGCACAAAATCAAAGTCATGCTTCCATCAATTTCCATCATTTAAAACCCATTTCCTATAAATTTAAACAAACCACAACCATAAACTAGGCTCTAACCCCATTTAGCACACAAAAATGTATTCATGTTCACTGTGGAAGTTTGATTTTTGTCCCTATTAAAAAAGCAGAACCCCAGAACGTAAACAGATTATTGTCACCATAACAAACCATAGAAGTACGAACAGGCAAAAGATACTGTCTTTATTTTGCACTTTATTATTCCTTTGTCGGGGTGTAACTGTACATGTACAGGTCCTTCTCAAAAAATTAGCATATTGTGATAAAGGTAATTATTTTCCATAATGTAATGATAAAAATGAAACTTTCATATATTTCAGATTCATTGCACACCAACTGAAATATTTCAGGTCTTTAATTGTTTTAATACTGATGATTATGGCATACAGCTCATGAAAACCCAAAATGCCTGTCCCAAAAAATTAGCATATCATGAAAAGGTTCTCTAAACAAGCTATTAACCTAACCATCTGAATCAACTACGTAACTCTAAACACTTGCAAAAGATTCCTGAGGCTTTTAAAAACTCCCAGCCTTGTTCATTACTCAAAACCGCAATCATGGGTAAGACTGCTGACCTGACTGCTGTCCAGAAGGCCATCATTGACACCCTCAAGCAAGAGGGTAAGACACAGAAAGAAATTGCTGAACTAATAGGCTGTTCCCAGAGTGCTGTATCAAGGCACCTCAGTGGGAAGTCTGTGGGAAGGGAAAAGTGTGGCAGAAAACGCTGCACAATGAGAAGAGGTGACCGGACCCTGAGGAGGATTGTGGAGAAGGGCCGATTCCAGACCTTGGGGGACCTGCGGAAGCAGTGGACTGAGTCTGGAGTAGAAACATCCAGAGCCACCGTGCACAGGCGTGTGCAGGAAATGGGCTACAGGTGCCGCATTCCCCAGGTCAAGCCACTTTTGAACCAGAAACAGCGGCAGAAGCGCCTGACCTGGGCTACAGAGAAGCAGCACTGGACTGTTGCTCAGTGGTCCAAAGTACTTTTTTCAGATGAAAGCAAATTTTGCATGTCATTTGGAAATCAAGGTGCCAGAGTCTGGAGGAAGACTGGGGAGAAGGAAATGCCAAAATGCCAGAAGTCCAGTGTGAAGCACCCACAGTCAGTGATGGTCTGGGGTGCCATGTCAGCTGCTGGTGTTGGTCCACTGTGTTTTATCAAGGGCAGGGTCAATGCAGCTAGCTATCAGGAGATTTTGGAGCACTTCATGCTTCCATCTGCTGAAAAGCTTTATGGAGAAGAAGATTTCATTTTTCAGCACGACCTGACACCTGCTCACAGTGCCAAAACCACTGGTAAATGGTTTACTGACCATGGTATTACTGTGCTCAATTGGCCTGCCAACTCTCCTGACCTGAACCCCATAGAGAACCTGTGGGATATTGTGAAGAGGAAGTTGAGAGACGCAAGACCCAACACTCTGGATGAGCTTAAGGCCGCTATCGAAGCATCCTGGGCCTCCATAACACCTCAGCAGTGCCACAGGCTGATTGCCTCCATGCCACGCCGCATTGAAGTAGTCATTCATGCAAAAGGATTCCCGACCAAGTATTGAGTGCATAACTGAACATGATTATTTGAAGGTTGGCGTTTTTTGTATTAAAAACTCTCGTCTTTCATTGGTGGGATGAAATATGTTAATTTTTTGGGACAGGCATTTTGGGTTTTCATGAGCTGTATGCCATAATCATCAGTATTAAAACAATTAAAGACCTGAAATATTTCAGTTGGTGTGCAATGAATCTGAAATATATGAAAGTTTCATTTTTATCATTACATTATGGAAAATAATGACCTTTATCACAATATGCTAATTTTTTTAGAAGGACCTGTATTTGTACTGAAGCGTCACAGTTACACAGACATCAGGGACCACTGCATGAAATCAGATAACAATATTAGTCTTGTGCCAGCTCCAGTCTCACCTGAAAGAGGATGTATGTGATTTTTTTTATTGCTTTGTGATAATTGTGTAATTAATGACAGAAGAACTGGATGAACATGATGTAATGGTTTTCAAGAGAGGTGATCACAACTGAAGGGACTGAGGTACCTGAAGGCAACATTGTAATGTCCAAGACAGCTACAAATACCATATTTTCTACCGTACACGTCGCACCACTCTAAGTTGCAAAAGTCCAAATATGTCTAATAAAGTGGAAAATCCATAAATAAGTCGCTTCGCCGTATACGTAGCATCTATCATGCGTCACCGCTGACAAGCCACAAATGTGAGCCTGTGTTGTGCCAAAAATCGATTGGATGCCAAATGGCAGCCACGGGAGCGTGCACAGGAGGACTTTAACAAGAATTTAACAAGATTAACACTTAAAAACAATTATTTGTTTGCTCAAAATTATAGTAAAAGTGCATCTCAGACTAACTTGTCTTTAATAAATGCACTTTGATGGTCAAATCAGCTGCATTTTCAAAAGCCGATATGAGAAAACATGAACGTGCAAAGGGCGACTCACTGTCCTTATTTTTCTAAATTTAACAAGCCAACCACCTAAAAACAGTTGTTTGTTTGCTCAGCTTTATAGTAAAGGTGTGTCTCAGTTGAACGTTTACTTAATAAATGCACCTTGATGGTCAAATCAGCGTCATTTCGCCGGGGCAGCGCAACGAAATGACGCTGATTCGGTTGCTCCAGGCAGACGACGGTGGCAGGCTAAGGCAAGCCGATTGTGTCATTAATAGCCACTTTTATTTATTACATCATAGTTTTTAGCCACACTGAAAATAGTTTTTTTTTTCAGTCAGAATGAACGAAAACGGTCATATCTCAGCCAAAAATTGTTTTATAAATGTGGAGGAAAAAAAAACATAAATAAGTCACTTCGGCCTATAAGTCGCAGGGCATGCAAATTATGCAAAAAAACGTGACTTATACAGCGAAACATATGATAGTTTGAACCCCACAAGCAAATGGCAATCATGATGAGGTTGTAAACAAGTACCTACAGAAAGGCAAGTCCTGATGAGCCAGCTGAACGGCCAGAACAAAGTCTGAGCCATCAACACTCTGATACCCAGAGAGAGATACCCAGCTGGTATAATGGCCTGGACAAAGGAGGAAATAGAAGCTACTGACATCAAGACTTGAAAGCGTCTCACAATGCATGGAGGGATTCACCACAAGTCCAGCAGTCTGAGACTGTACACTAAGAGAAAGGAGGGAGGCAGACGACTAGTGAGTGTTCGAGACAGTATAGATGATAAAACAGCAAAGATCCTGAATCCCCGGGCACTTGCATAGCTGCCCACTGCTCCACCTGGGTGTATCACACATGTAATGGGTTAAATGCAGAAAACTAATTTCATCACTGTATGTTCCCCATACAGTGATGAAGGACTTTTAGCTTTACATCAGAAGAAATACCCTCAATGATGAGCAGCTCAGTGAATGTCTCAGCCAGCAGAAACCCAAGAGAAGAAACAAAAGGGGCAATCATGAAAACATAACCCCTGCATGGCATGTACCACTGGCAGATTGAGGAACTGGCTGATATCAACTAATCGTACCAGTCGCTGGACTGAAGGACAGCACAAAGGCACTAATCATGGCATCACAAGAACAGGCCATCAGCACAAGAAAAATAGAGTTTGGGGTCTACCAGACCTGACAAAACCCAAAATACAGGAAATGCAGATATGCCCCGAGAAAGATCAACACATAATACCATGGTGTAAGATCCATGCAGGCAAAGCATACATGAAACACCATAACCAAGTGGCTGGACTAATGCACAGGAACATCAGAGCCAAGAATGAACTGGATGTCCCAAAGTCAGAGGGTGGTGGAGAAGGGCAGGACTTCCAAATCTAGACTGACCAACTCCCAGGCCTGGGCTTCATGTGAAGTGCAACCCCATGTGGATAAATAGGGCGAGCTAGGTGAAAGCTTATGCTGGGGTCAGTCAGGTCTACCTTTCACGTCTCCAGCTCGTGCAAAATGCTGCAGCTCGGCTTTTAACAGGAACTCGCAGGTCTGAGCACATTTCACCAGTTCTGCACGTCCAAATTGATTTTAAAATTCTCCTGCTGACATTTAAGTTCATTAATGGCCTTGCACCCTCATACCTCTCTGACCTTCTTCATCCTTATGCTCCTTCATCCTTGTGCTCCTTCTCAGACTTTAAGATCATCAAACCAGCTGCTTCTGGTTGTACCAAAAACCAGGATGAAGCTTAGAGATTGAGTCTTTTCAGTCGTGGGCCCTAAACTCTGGAACAATGTGCCCATCAACATTAGACAGGACCCTCCAGGCTCTGCTTTTAAATCTCTCCTGAAAACTCACCTGTACTCACTGACATTTAACACAGGGTGATCTGATTTAGATTTACTTTGATTCTGATTATGCTTTTTGTTTTATTCCCATTTAACACAAGGTCATCTGATCTGATTTAGCATTTCATTGTTTCCGACTGAGTTTATGCATTTTGTTATTATTTCCTTGACTTTTGACACAGGGTAATCTGATTTAGTATTTTATTGTTTCTAATTATGTTTTGTGTTTTATATTTTTATTCCATGTGCTGTAAATATATCTTGTTACTTTTTATTTGATGCCGTGATAGATCAGAAAACTGAGGTCAGTAAAAGAAGTCGTCAGATTTATTTATAGAGCACATTTAAAACAGAAACTGTTACCAAAGTACTTAACAAAAAAATCTGACTTTACTTCTTTTACTCCTCAATTCAGTGTTCCTCTCAAGAATATGTAAGAAAATCAAGAGAATCACTCAGCCCCCCGGTGAAAAGCAAGCAGCCATCAGGGCTCTAACTACCCAATGTGTTAGGGCTCTGATGATCAATTGTTAGGTTGATGGGCCTCCTCTTACAAGTGAATAGCTATTTCTGTCTGTCAGCAGAAACTGGACCACAGCAAATAGATGAAAGATGAACAGCCCTGGCAAATAGCTTTGGTTTCATATTTGATATAATGTTCATGTTTATGTTATTAGAAATACTTTATTATTATCATTATTCAAATGCACCACATCATCACCTTTTAGCCAGCTTTTTTAAATTGTTATTCATCCAGCAAAAACAGAACATTGATTACAGAAATAACAGCAACTGTAACTTTTTTGTTCGTTTGTTTCCTTCCCCATCCATTCCCACCATGCAGCCAAAAGTAAAAAATAAACTGAAATAAATAAACTAAAATTAATGTTTTAGCCAGCTTTAAAATTATTGGGTGATCAAAACTTTAGTTGTTTTGTTGTAAAACCCTTAGAGCTGAACTAGAACAAATGGTTTAAGCATTGTGTGACTAAAAATGTTGAGGTTCCAGATAGTTATCATTTCTTGTGTTGCATTTTCAGGGAGAGCTCCCGGGCTTCTGAAACCTCGAGAAATTACATTGTTTCCCAACACAGCTGGCTGGAATGATTAGTTAGTTAGTGCTTCACATCTGGCCAACTAGCCAACAGGAAGCATTCATTTCTCACCTGGTTTTGCTTGAGCTCAGCTTAGCATTGCTAAAACCCACGAGATCTGCAACATCGCTCGTGCCCTGCAAGGATAAGCACACATAAAAATAACGTGTTTACAACCAAACAGCACCAAGCCAGACTCAAGACACACAGATCGGTTGGACCGATCAACAAAGGAGACTGAAGCTACAGATTTCGCTAACTGCTAGCTAAAGCAGAAGCCTTCTCTGACACGCGCAGCTACCTGTGTGGAAAACACGCCATGTTCTCTGTAGTTGGCCAACGCTTCGGCTAAAAACTCCGGACGTTGTTCCTTCAAAAGCGACATCAAACCTTCTGTTAGTCGCATAGCACCTGTACCATGCAGCCAAGACGCTGCAGCCATTTTTTCTCTTTCTACCGATCTGACGTCATTTCCTTGCGGCTGCGTCGTGGTCGCTTTTTGATGACGCGCTGCTTGCCGCCGTCGTTCCTCGCCCACAAAGTCTCATCAGAAAGCTGCGCTTCGATTAGAAGTGTAACTTTCAGTTTACAGACGTCATTTCTACAGAGAGATATTATTATTGTATTTTTTTACACCAGTCGGCTCCAGTTCTGACGCTGTGTGACCAGCAGCTTCCGGTCCTGATGGCGAACGAGAGGCTCAGACTTCTGGAGGAGGTGGAGAAGGATATAGCCATGGTTCTGCAGTGTGCTGGTGAGGACACGAACCTGTTCACTTTCACCTACATGTAGCAGTCAGTGGTTTTTATTAGGTATGAGAACAGCTCATTATTTCTACTGAAAAAGCTTCTAAACAAGTTTAAAACTATATCACATGTATCAAAGTTCATGCTCAATAATCCAGGTAAAAAATCCAACAAGTCAAGTCAGGTCCTCTGGATGGTTTGTTTTTGTTGAAACGTTTCGTCCTTCATCCAAAAGACCGAGGAGCCGCAACAAACTCAGTTTTATAAATAATACCTTCACATCAACCAGTATGATGGTGCTCAGGTGCGGTAGTGATGGTTCTCAGGTGCGGTAGTGATTGTGCTCAGGTGTGTGGTATTGATGGTGCTCAGGTGCGGTAGTGACAGTTCTCAGGTGCGGTAGTGACAGTTCTCAGGTGCGGTAGTGACAGTTCTCAGGTGCGGTAGTGA